TTTCAGAACACATACCTAAACACTAGTACTGCTTGTTACATTTCAGAACACAAACCTAAACATTTCTGCTAAACAACATTGCTATTCAGTAATGTTTACTAAGAACATATAATCAGGGCTAGGAGAAAACATTAACAACTAATACAAAGGATACATAAGGATTGTCCAAAGATGGTAGACCATTAAGTTCAAATATATTAAGAAGATCATAATATTGACCATGTATATCACCACATATTGTAAATTTGCCATCCTTTGGTACCGTGATATCAGTTAACGATGGAGCTTCTACAAACAATTTTTTAATCTGCACTAAAATCTGTGAAAAGAAAACGAAAATTAATATTTCTTCTATACATGTACTTCATTAATGAACATTCAATGTGTACTTATATATTAATTTAAAAGAAACAAGTCATTGTCAATGATATAGTCCCTATTTGTATAATAGACATGAGATATGATGTATTTGTGAAGTTTAAACTTGATTGTTCCAGGCATGAATGAGATATGACTCTGTGGAATGGCATTTGTTTAAACAAGACGATCGCCGGTCAGCCATTTTTCATTTGATGGTGACAAAAATGCATGTACATTTTTCTGTTGTGATGTCTTATACATGTGTGATTGGTCCAGGCAATTTGAATATATTGACCAGGAACTGCATTCTTTAAAACAAAATGGCCATCAGTTGGCCATTTTGAACCCTATAGAGTACATTAAGATTAACACAATCTGTCCATGCATGACCGAGATCCAGTTTCAAAATAGTAAAATGTGTGATTTTGATGCATTTAGAATCTACCTAGAATCTACGCAACATTCCATTGCTATATGCCACTCTACTAATGCCTAGAATCTACACAGGATTCCATTTCTATATGCCACTCTACTAATGCCTAGAATATATGCAGCATTCCATTGCTATATGCCACTTTACTAATGCCTAGAATCTATGCAGGATTCCATCACTATATGCCACTCTACTAATGCCTAGAATCTACACAGCATTCCATTGCTATATGCCACTCTACTACTAATGCCTAGAATCTACGCAGCAGTCCATTGCTATATGCCACTCTACTAATGCCTAGAATCTATGCAGGATTCCATCACTATATGCCACTCTACTAATGCCTAGAATCTACACAGCATTCCATTGCTATATGCCACTCTACTACTAATGCCTAGAATCTACGCAGCAGTCCATTGCTATATGCCACTCTACTAATGCCTAGAATCTATGCAGGATTCCATCACTATATGCCACTCTACTAATGCCTAGAATCTTTGCAGCATCCCATTGCTATATGCCCAGTGTTCTCCCCAGAAAAATGTATCAGAGTGGCGGCTAATTTGCATATAATTTACATATCATTAGCATTTGTCTGAAGATAAAGAAAACAATAATGACAGGCTTGCATGGATGAAAATGTGTCTTTATTTTTTAACAAATTTATGTAGAAGATTAAATGAATCTGCTGCTGTGTGATTTCTATGTAATGTTGATTCTTCGGACTTTCATGGAAGCCCAGTGATCTGCAGCTTTTGAGAACGCCGTGATTTTCTTTGCTTCCCACTTCTATTAAATGACATGGCCTTCTTGTGCATCTCCGAGTGTGCGTGTTTATCGATAGCATATTTCGTAATAGTTATACATGGCATAGAATTCCATACCAAAGAACTATTTCTGGATGTTTTTAAGTTGAATTTTCCACATATGTGTCACAGCATTCCTAAAAGATAAGAAATAGGAGCGAATCAATACTTGTATTTAAAAAATATCGTCACGATCAACACGAAAATAAACAAATTGCCGCCATTTTGAAAAGTCGCTAAACTTAAAAATTGCCACGATAAACTTTACCCAACTATTTCAAAA